TTGATATCTCAGCAACAGAATAAATAGTCCCTTATTCCCGCCACACAGGTGCTGTGAAGAGCAGCAGAGTCACATGCTTGAGGCATGCAGGTGCAATTGTATGGTAAGTCACAGGTACATATTTATACCCCTATTCATGAAAGATTCCAAAATCTTTTTGAGGAACACAGTGAGGATTCAGACAAAGGGAAATATACCTAGTTAGCAAGGTTTTGAGCGTAATTTGCTGCTCCCTTTGTTATCTGTAGCAAGCAGGTGAAGAAAAGGGCCTCTGAGGTAAACCTGCTCCCTGATGGATAGGGAAATCTGAGTGGCTGGAGCACATAACCTATTTCATCTTAGGACCCCAGAAAGAATATGTGAAATTTGAGGGTACCTGAAAAAACAGGCATGGAAACAAAAAAGCCAGGAGAGTTGGAGAAGATAGTCACTCTTTTCTTTCTTGTCTTTGAGCAGCCCTTGTCTTTTGACTTTTTAAAAAGAAGGGAGATATTTCCTTTAATTTTTCTTCACAGACCCAGCCTACCTGTTCTGGCCAACGCACTCGGCTGCAGCTGTGCGGTCAGCCTCTCTGACTGCACTGCTTTCGTGACTCCCTGGCAGATCATCCAGCATGCTGATACCCGCCAATGCACTCCAGTCAGCAATGCTCCTTTCCCTCAGCTCGTTACCTTCCAGGTCAAGAACTTGCCTACGAGCAGAAAGCACAGACAAAAGAGCCTAAGATGGTGGTCTCTTCTGCGAGCTTCAGAAATTCGCTCTAGCCAAGCAACTCACTGCAACAGCAACGAAGGCTACCATGAAGAGAAGAAAGTAAAGAAAACAAAACAAGACCAGTGCAAAGTCATTGACCCTTATTTCCTTCTACAGAGAATCGCTTTAAAAGAGGAATCCAGAGAAACACTAAGGAGATGCGATGAATGGTCTTACCTAGCATTTCATTGCTAGGTAGACATAGTATGTCCATAAACATGAACAACTTGCTAAGAAACACACCATCTGTAACTCAAGCTGGGAGCACAAAATACATCAGAATATGAGGGAAGAAAGTCATGAAATATTTTTAAAAGGCCATTCTCACTGAAATAAAAATCTCCACCTTGCCTATAATTTTAAGTGACCGGTACACCTCCAGATCTGCAATCCATTTTAATCAGTGTCTTCATACAAAGATAAATTATATCTTCAAAATACAAGGAGTTAACCTATTTTTCAGTGGTAGATGGTCCAACGAGCAGCTCTGCAATAAGAATAAATGGTATTGAGATGTCTCCATGACAGATGAGAGATGTGATTCCCTGCTCCACCTACCATATTGTTATGGCAAATTTTTTTTTTAGTTTAATAAGTAAACATAAATTCATTATGCAGCCACCAGTTTATTTTGCAGCTGCTTTCCAGGTTATTCTCCATATTTGCTTAACTATGAATGAAAGGACAGCAGAATCCAGAACACCTGTCCCCGGACACCGTGGCTTAGTGGCGAAGAATAATTACCAGTAACCAACGATGGGACACATCACATCTCTTTCTGAGCCTATTCACAGTAAGATGTCAGTCATTCCAAGAGCTAAACATTTAGACTTGCAGGGAACAGAAGACAGCAGAACACTCTTCAACTGCAAGTTTTCACTATGCTTCAAGGAACAAAACAGGAACCACTTTCTGGTTATTCTTCCCCATTCAGGCAAAACTATTTCAAATGCTCAGTGACAAATACATAACCTGGGGGGCAGAGAGGGGAGAAGCAGAGTGGGATGTATGGGTCACAGAAATTTCTATCAGAATACCATCCCCACCAGAGACAATGCACAATGGTATAATGTAGATGATCAACTCCCTAAACTCTTACAGGGCATCACAAGCTTCTACCAAACACAAACGTTTTACAAGTGAACTGCTTGCTTCATTTAAACACGTAGCCTGTATAATCACAGTCTTTGAAGTAGAGAGAGATGATCAGGATTAACCTTTTGATCTTTCCAAATTGTTTTAGCAAGTAACAACTATGCCTGAAGTCTTTTCTGGAAAATTTTATTAGCAACAATGTTTACAACAGTCATAGAGACCAAGGTTCTCTCAGTATCACTGTTAAATAATCTTACAGAAACTGGAATCTTACAAAGCAAACTTAGGCTCTGCAAATAACAATGGTGAATTTTATGTAAATTCAATTAAAATTCCTAATCAAATGAGCTACAATTCTATTCAATGCTCTGTACAGATGCACATTAAAAAAAAGAAAAAAGATAGATGCGCTTTCACAGGATCTGCTGGATCCACACAGATCTGTTGTCTTCTTTGTTCATCTACTTGTACCCAAATCAAGTCAACAGATCTTGCATGAGAACCTCTAGATCAGAACAGATCAGGCTCTGGAGCAATCAAAAGAAGGACCTTACTTTATCAATAAGCAAGAGACACCTCCACATTTCCAAAAAAGCAGCCAAAGTTGCCTAGTTATAGAATACAGCTGTCCCACTGATTAACATGAGCTCAATAATAATTTTTCCCAAATTTAAGGCAACTTAAAAAACTTTCTCTCCTTAGTGTGTGTTATAAAGGACTGTGCCCACATTACACATTCTATGCATCTCCTTAAATTATCAGAAACATTCACAGCCACTGTTTTTAGACAGTGCGTATACAGAAAGACACTGTGGTTCTGACACAGAGAAAGGAAACGTGAATTTCTTTACCTTTTATTTTGTTTTCTGCCCTCAAGACAAGAAAAATACAATTTCTTCAGGCAATCTTCCTAGCCCGTGCTTATACAGTGAAAAAAGGGAAAATAGCCCACTCATGAAAAAATGGTTATCATCTACTGTAGTAATGGAATGCAGAAATCGTTTTAAAAGTTTGTTTTCAAGCAATTTCTGGGTCAAAGAAGAAAAGAGAACAGTTCTGGGTTCCTCCCCCCAAACAGTATATCTGATAAATTCAATCTATTTTTATGCAAATGTTTATGAATAAGCTCACAGCCTTCTTATAGCTGAAAAGTGAAATGATGTATAGGAAGAATGAAAGTAATGTTAAACTATGAGCTAACAACGCCACCGGGGTACCCTGGTGATATCAGATACGATGAGAGAAATTTGCAAAGCAACCATACAACTGAAAATGAAGCCACTGCACCTTCTACTTGTTAAACACATGAATGTGGTCACAGTCAAGACGGAAAGATAAAATAATGGTGTACACAATTACCCTTAACCCTCTACCAATGCACCATTTCAACTTACTGCTAGAAGCAGATGGGCAATTCTACAAAAGAATTTGAAATACAAAAGACTTGAGGGCAGGGGAGTTGTTCCTGCTTGTTTTTCAAGCCTGCTGCTGTTCAGAGGCATTTCAGCTTTTCATTTACAGGCTGAAGCCATAAGGAATTACAATCACTTCTCAAGTCAAAGAACAGCAGCATCCAGCAGAGAGCAGCTCCTTGCCTTTGTCTTGTTTTTATGCCTGCCTTTATTTTTTAATGGTTTATTATCACTCTCTAAATTACGGAATGTGTTTGTTGTTTTTTTCTCTCTCATCCTCTGGAATGGATTTAAAGCATCAATCCATTAAGAAAAGGCAATCATAGAAGCTAGAAGAAGTGAGGTAGTACTGTGGGGTCAAGTTTTACAAAAAACACATTTAAGTGCATCTCACATTGCACATGCACAAAAACATGCTTATGAAAATACACATATTGATTAGCTCAGAAGTGAAACTTCGGGAAGACATTTGGGTAGTCTGAACTTTTCAGCTACACTTGTGTCTACTTTGGCACCTGCAATAAAGTGCCTTCATGGATACCCATCGCACACCTACAGAAAGGTGCTTCAGACAACCACTGAATTAGTTGCTCAGCGTAGCGTGGCCATTGGGCAAAAGTTTTCTTTCAGGAATCTCTATGAATTCTTTGGGCCAGACTCGTGCATCCACACTTAGGAAGCTGGCTAGTATCTTATCACATACATCTGTGTTACTTGCATCAGAAAAGATGCATAAATAACTCACAAAAAGGATCTGAAGCAGGAAGAAAATGCGCAATTAAGGAAAATAAGAGTTGTATCTGTTTCACTTATCAGAAAAGAAAGACAGAGAAATGACTACACAATATGTACTAAGGGACTGTTTTAACTCAGAAATCAGCATAACAAAAATGAATGGCTTGAAGCAAGCAAATTAAAAGTACGAACAACGCACCAACATCTACAATGAAGCTGGCAGTCAGTGGGGAAAAACCGCCAACAGACACAATGGATGTTCCACTTCTGGTACCATTCAGAGCTTTTATAGAAGAAACATCTGTCTGTCTAATACAAGCCACAAGACACCAAGAATCAAGGAAACTGGGTGACTTAAAGCTGTATGCCACCTTTGAGCTACACCTTGGGGACAAATTCCACCCTCCTTTGGATACAACCGGTTTTCAACGAACCTACCCGGAACAGCACCTGTGTGGAGTTTCTAATACACCATTTGATTACTATGGTCACACTGGTATCTTCCGGAGAAAGAAATCAATTAAAGTAGATACCAGTTTGATAGAGCAAGAAGTTGAGAATGAAACTAAACTTGTAAATGTAAACTCAGTACATTCTCTATGAAAAAAGTTGTCATTCTCTCGCTTCAGAATTACCCTTTTTTCTTTTTCTTAGAGTTTTATAATACTGATTTAAAGACAAAACCCCCCAACCTTCCACACACACCTGTGTCACATTCCAGATGTAGAATCCACTGTTTAAAACAAAACCGAGTATCTCCTTTGCTTAAATTACTCTACCAGTTTCTGTAAAAGGACCTGAAGTTTACGGCGCTGGTTTAGCAGAGTCAAGAAGTACATTTAGCTGCAAAACTTAAGTCAGGTACATGCTTAAGTGCTCTGCTGAATTAGTTTCTCATAATACTTTCCTCCTCCACAGCGGAGTTCATGCAGTAACTTTGCTGGTCACTGACAAAACAGCATTTGGACACAGGAGACGATCGTTAAACAGCTTTTCCTCCTCCGGGCTTTTGAAATTAATACTTTATTACTTCATACAAGACAGTAAAAATAACAAAAATAATCCCACAACTTTTCATAAAAATTAAAAGGATTTAAAAACAAATCTCATTAAAAAGCCAAACGAACTTTGCACTTAAAACCAAACTAAAGAAACTATACACACACACACACTTTTTTAAGAAGAGATTATGATTTTCTATTTGATATCAACAGGCACTCTTCATTCATCATCTGCAAGAAACTAGGTTAGATCTCCATAGGCCACAGAGTTATTAAGTAAATATGCCACTGCTTCTGTGCCCTCCTTTTATTTCCTTGCTTCTTCAGTCTCATCTGGCTCTCTCTCTTGATGCTCTCTTTCCCACCTCATTTCTTTCAACTCTTGTCTGTACTTCCGTTCAATGAACCGTTTCTGATGGGCCATCTGGGGAAAGTTATCTGACACAAGGAAAAATATTTTACATTAATAAACAAACTGGTAACACAGAAAGCCTCAGCTCTTTTTTTTTTTTAAACTTTTATGAGATTAGGGGTAGGGGGAAATAATTTTATTACCATTTTTACTCATTTATTTCTAATAATCCATAGTAAACCAGAGCTGTGTGTCATAAGACTTTGGTTTCCTTATGATTTCCACATCTGTTTCTCCTGCTATAAAGCACTGCCAAATATAATAAACTCACAAAAATAAAATATAAAATCCTGGTATAGCAACATGGCCAGGTATTACCTGGATTTTACATTCTGTTCCCTTAGCAACAGGTGGTCGATACTGAAAAATGAATGTGAGACTACTGTCAATGCTGTCAGGGGTTTTTGTCTTGTTCTCACTCCGAAAAGTATGAACCACTGGTTCCAAGCATTGTACAGATGTTTCCATTATTATTTTAGACCATGCAGAACCCACTAGATGCCCCACATTATGGCAGGGTTCCTAATGGGAAAATAATAGTGTAGCAAAATGGAATGCAGTAAAATCTGTTCCTGAAAAAAATAATGCTTGGCTATGTACCAGACTACAGCCTTAGCGTAGTCTAAGAGCATGGATGAGTGAAGACTGGCTAAAACAGACTAGACAAGGCTGAGGTGGTGGAGAAATAGCTAGGGGGACAGATGCTTCTGATTTCAGACATTTGTCCATCAGCTGGTATGTACATACGCTAGTTAGAACCGAGGCTGTAAAACCAGCTTATATAATTGCTCTCAATTTAGTACACAGCTGACAGAATATGACGTTTTCTACATGACCAGGGTACTGACATTCATCTGTGCTCTGTGCTGCAGCGACCTGCACCCTCTAGCCGGTCAGAAAATGAAGGGGTGGTAGAGTACGTGGCAGTCTGCAGCTGGCGGTAAATCCTGCTGGGATCGCACAGAGTTCTGGGATCAGCACTGGCTACCTATCTGTGTCTGAGATGAACGCAAAAGGTTACTACACTGCCCTTTAAAGCCATAAAAAAAATCTGGGAGATGTCTCAGCAAAGGACTGCTCTCTGTCTAGTTGGCTGCCAAGAGAGAATTCAGCTGAGGCTCCTCAGGGAGGAGTCCCTTGGCACCAAGCATTTTCCTCCTCTTTCTGGGTCCCAGGCAGCACAGATTTGTTCAGCTAGAGAACACAGTGCAGAAGCCACGTGATCTGCAGGAGTTTGTGGTAGAGCAGAATGACTTTCTACTGCTTTGTTTTATTGGCCGGTGAAATTTGTGCCTTTTATTATATACTACAGGAATAAAAGGTTTATTCATCAGTTATTTACAACTCAGGCATAAGAGGGTATATTTATTTAAACCAGAAAGCAATCTAAACAAAAGTAAATTGTTTTTAAATTGCTGCTGTTTTTAAAAACACTAGTGCTTTGTTTAATGGAGTTCTGGGATATTTTGTTGCTCATGTGCACCATAAAATGAAAATCGGATTTTCAGCACTGTGCCTGTAACGTGATTCTTTAAGAACTCTGAAGAACTCAACTTGGTAGCAACCTGTTTGTTTATAATCCATCTAATACGTTGAGAAGGAAATTTATGTAATAAACTCATCATGGTTATCATATATATAAACAGGTACATGAAAATTAGTTGAAGTTAACAACTTATGCATTAAAAAAACCCAACAACAAACCAACCTCCACTCCACAAATATATACATAATAGAACAGGTGCCCATAGGGGCTGTAGAGCCTCCATCCCTAAAGATAATCAAAACTTGACTGGCAAGGCACTGAGAAACACGACCTAACTTGAAAGTTGGCTCTGTTTTGAGGGGCAGTTGGAGTAGAGACCTCTAGAGGTCTATTGTATTCAAACAAATACATATGTCAGAAAAGAGCTGTGAAGTCCTTGGACTGATAGGAGATGAAGCTCACAGCTCTCTGAGTGGCGACACTGTCACAAGAAAACACACTCAAAGAAAACTTCAGTAACTTTTTGTAGATATTCCGTGAAAAAGGGAAGTTACATTTTTCCACTTGTCAAATTTACTGGTAGTCAGGAGTATATGCCTAGCAGATGGATATAAAAAAGATTCTGAATTACAGGGATTCATTGTCTTCTGAAATTTTTAAAGCCCTGGGATTTCCACACGCAGAGATAACAGATTAAAAACCTTTGGCATCTGAGGAACGGCATGTCTTTTCTTCAAATCAAATGCAAAAAATGTACCTCCCCCTGTTCTTCTGAACAGAGAGCTTCTGCTGTACAAAATGCATGTAATCTATTTGCCTACAGTACGTCCACATCTGGCACTTAACTCAAGTGGCCAAAGTTCTTTCATGTAAGATGTTTGCATACACTCATTCCTTTCATATCCGAGACTCCATCTGAGACTCTCTTCCCCCAAGTAACTAGCGATAGGACGAGAGGAAATGGCCTCAAGTTGCGCCAGGGGAGGTTTAGATTGGACGTGAGGAAAAATTTCTTTACTGAAAGCGTGGTTAAACATTGGGACAGGCTGCCCAGGGAAGTGGTTGAGTCATCATCCCTGGAAGTATTTAAAAGACATGCAGATGAGGCGCTTAGGACATGTTTTAGTGGGCATGGTGGTGTTGGGTTGACGGTTGGACTCGATGATCTTGGAGGTCTCTTCCAACCTTAATGATTCTATGATTCCATTGCAATGAAGGACTGCTCCCGTGCTGGCTATCCTGTGCATAATTTTGCACATCTGAGAGATGCATACACAGATCACTGAATCCTCAGCTGATATAAGCTGTTCTTAACAGATAAATATTGACTTACATTGGTTGGGGATGTGCCTGTTAGATTTTAACCTAGTCTACCGTATAATCTGAGATCAAATTTTATTTTCTAAATTGGCAACTGAAAAGTAATTTTCCTCCTCCCCTAAATTAGAGGATGAGACAACCACACCGTCAGAGACTAAGCAGTCTTATCCCACCGCATATTTAAGCATGGAAAATCTCAATGAGACTTCCCTGCACAGGGTTCCAAGTTGCAACTTCTGTAGCTGATCAACTCCCTTCTAAAAATACCTGTTGGTATCATATTAAATTCACCTATTACAAAATTGTCTTGAAAGGACTAAAAGGAAAACCTGCTACTCAGAAGCTGACAGCATTCAGCATAGACATTCTGTTCAAATCTTATCCCCCACAAAACCTGCACCTCACCTCACTAAAGACCAAGGATGTAAACTATAAATTATTTCCTTTGTTGCCCAAATATCTTACATTTTTCAAGTGCGTCCATTGCAGCTCCCATTTCTGCTTGCTGAATACTGTGAAAGCCAAACAAAAACATGTTACATGAGATCTAAGTTGTACAGAATAAACTAAAGTTTCTGACAAAGTGGAACACTAGCTACTCTTTTGTAATAAAACTCTTTGGATAACCAGTAGCTAGTAATTCCCAGAGTGTATGATATGTCAGCCTTTCCATAAATATATGAGCAACAGCACTACAGTTCCAGTAGAATGTTTTTAAACTTAGATCAATAACACTAACAGAATATTCAGGTCCATTCTTCACTGAAGTATTTGCTTTTACTTGAGAGAGAAAAAGGAACAAAATCACAGAGGTGTGAACGCTATAAAATCAATGATATTTTTATAACCACCACCAGATTTGGTAGCAGAAAATAAGACAAGGTCTTTGGGGTTCCTGGTTGAAGTCTTTGCAACTTTAGAAACCATTCTAAAATGCCTAGAAGTAATAACATCAGAGAAAAAAAACAAAACTGAGAGCCTTGCACCCTTAACTTGCCAGGTTAAGTTGGACAGTAATGCAGTAGCAAAGCCAAAGATAAAGTCACTATTTCCTGGAAGCTGTTCTGCACTTTCTAGTCAGAGCGCCACAAATGGGTTAGCATTGCTAGCCACCTTGTAGGCAAGTTCACCAAAAAAGCTTAAGACCCAAAGTCATACAGATGTTGAACACTTCAGGTATTCCTGAGGCAGAAACTCAGAATAGCTTGAAGAAGGCTCTATAGCTTTCCTTTTCTAAGGCCAACCACACACTTGTCTATCTCCATGGCTAGTCATTTTGCACACTGCCACACTCAAACTTTAACACCACGTGACTGATTTTTCACTATACCTTGGGCCTTTACCACATCCTATTCGTTCCCCTTTGAAGTAAACAGCTACTGTGTATGTCCTGGCATGAGACGGTCCCACTGTCTGCAAAGTCCTGAAATAAGAAAGATATGATTTATTCAAGCAGGAAGTATTAAAAACCAGAATCTGTTTGTGGCACATACATCACCAAGCTTTCAGTCTGGTCAATATATGTAGCGGAATTAGTGCAAAGCACGGAGCAAGGGTTGAAAGATGCCTGTATAAATCACATTAAACCAGAGATTACTAGTATGGTGTGCAATAAAAAGGAGAAATTTACATAAAATGCACTTTGTTTATACTGGTTATATTTATTCCTCCAGGTTCACTCAGGAGCACCATATGAAAATTAAAACTTTAACCTATAAGCAAAAATGCAAACTATAACACAAAGTGCTTAAACACTGTGAAAACACTTTATAATAAAGTCATATAAATTGTGCATAGCTGTGCAATTGCAAATAATCACACAAATATGATTATTGTGTGCACTAAAATGTTAGTCCCTGAGAGTTGTGCAGTTAACAAGGTTTTAAAAAGGACTTTATATTGGACATGGTAGCTCTCTACATACTGAATTATCACAGTACAAATAAATTTTCCATCAGCTTTGAAAAGTTACAGTTTGTCACAAAAGAAACTTTCCATTTGAGCTCAAGTCTAGGACATGCATCAACAACCATCTAAAGGGGAAAAAAGATAATTCCCTAGACATGCAATGAATTGCTCCTTCTGCTGTTTCTTCCTGCTGTCCCAAATCTCTCCCCACTGTTAGCTTGAGTTCTGTCCACTACCTTGTTTCTTTTTGGAAGGAGCACCAATGTCACATCAATTTTTAAAGTATCTAACTATAGTATTCTGTCTCTGAGTGCTGTGACAAGAGCAAATAAAACCCACCCCAAATTTAAAAGCAATAGTACTGACTACAGTGAAACACATAACCCCAAGAAAAGGAATCTAACAAGATAATAGGAAGATAACAGCATATTACTAGCTCTAAGCTGTACTATAAAAATCAATTTATCATCACAGCAAAACAAAACAAACATTTGGTACTTGATAGTCAGTGGATTTTACAAGAATCAGGAATTGTTTCTTTTGTATTCATCTCCTTCACTCAAGACAAAGCTGTAAGCCCTCATATAGAGACACTGAGGAGTCAGATTTGCAGAGCATCAGTTGCAGTGTTAAAGCGATCGTATTTCTGATGTGCCCTGTTTGTCACTATAACTGAACTGCTACATGTCATTGAAAACTTTACTTCAGTAAATGTGACAAATGCACTTAGACTTTCATTCTTCATACCTTTTTGATATAATAACCCCAACAACATAAGCCTTGAACTTTCATAGCTTTTATCTCTTACTTTAGGGGCTAACACTGCACCCATCCCTACATTAATTGAATGGATATGAATGCAATATACAATCTGAAGTTCATTACTGCCTCTTTGGAGCAGCTATTATGCTGTTTTACAACTGAAGGAGAGAAGGGAGATCCGTCCCAGCCAGCTTCAGGTATCTAACTGAGGTGTACAAGTTAAGAGGTTAACTGCCCTGACCTCTTCTATCACTAAACAGGAGGACATATGTGGGCTGAATTGCGCAGCGAAAATGTCCAAAACTTGTGTTGCCCTTCAGTGCCTAACTCTGTGGATTAGAAACAGAGCCTACAATCAGGATGTGTAACACAAGGCATTTATTATTTTTGCATAATAATGTAGAGTGTAGAGAAACTTCATACTACGACTGGAAATAGAATGGAGGTATCTTGACTTCATATCCAAACAGCCATTGTTCCATTCATTTAATTTAAAATACTGCCATTCCTTACATTAAAAGAAGAACAAATATAGAATGATGCCAATGAAATACCCCATTCGAACATAAAAAATATATTTTCCCTTCAAACTGTACAAGGTAAAATGCTTACTAATTCTTCCTTGTAATGGCTTAAAACACCTAAAGCCTGGAAAACATTGGTTCAACATTTTCCATCTTCAGACAAAGAGAGACTGGAGGGCTTGGATAACGACAATAAAACCAAACTGTGGGAAGAATGTAGGGCGACTGATCACATCTTTCTCCATATACAAGAAAGACTGACAGCTAGCTTGTATCCATAACATGCCAGTTCTTACTTGTAAAGAGGAATGTCTGGCTCTTTTCCTTCTGTCCTGAGAGTCAAGCAGCACTGCTGAAGCTGAGATTTAGGATCGTTCCAATCTTGATTTAAAATAAACTCCTGTAAGAAGTTCACAAGGATGCTTTTATGATTGAGAGATTGTGGTGAGAGTCCAAAACACAATAATGTGTAAAACACAGTGGCAGGAAAGTAGGAACCTGACTGGTCTTACCTTTAGCCGTGGAAAAAAGCATACGTTCATGAAAGTGTGAACGTATTCCAAATCTTTATCAATGTACAGGGCAGCAATAAAGGCTGGGGGGAAAAAAAAAACCACAACGGACTGTCACTCATCCAAGGAGAACATTAATGGCTTGCACTTTTAGAAACAAGTATCTCCGAGTACTCTAAAGCCACACTCAATTATGTTTCACAGCAGTGATCTGATGAGGGTATTATTATCCTGCACACACAGGAAAAAAATAGACTTGACCAAGAGATTAAGTGACTTACCCAAATCCACTCAGTCATTTAAAGAGCTAGAAACAACATTCAGCTCCTAATCTCACATTTTAACCAGGAGACCATGGATACTCACAAATAAATCACTACTGGGTACCATAAAAAAGTATTAGATATAAATCACTCCTGTTTGTGTGCAATTTCCATTTGCTAAGAGGATTTGGCAAAAGCCAAGGGGTTGGAATGGCTCACAAAATACACCAAAATATACAAGATACAGATTAACTTTCTTTGCAGAACATTTATCACTGTTCCCACTTTCTTTGGAAAGAAGGTAGCACAAAACTTTCCTAAATAGGCTAAAAATAATTTAATTTCAACGTAGCTTTCCCTCTTGTGGAATGAACATTCTGAAACCTCCCCAAAACACAGTCAGATGAACCACAGAAACATTCACCTGCTGAAGGAACTACTTTATCTTCCAATAGTGACAAGAACATATTAATGAAACATTGAAACTGCTGTTAAATAGCTCAGCTCAGAATACAAGCTTTCATTTTCTAGACGTGCTTTTGACCTGGCCATCATGAACCCTCAATTTCTAAGCCTACAACTTTGTATCTGTATCTGCAATTACACCTCCTCCATGCTTTCATACAGACTTCAAAAATGTATGCTAGTGTTCAATAATCTGGCTTTCAGAGGTATAGGCATAATTCATTTGAAAACCTGAACATACATTTTTAATAGTGATTTGGGGGATTTCTAATGGCTTTCTTAAACAAGCCCCGAAGAAAAAGAAGCTGCGTAAGTACTAAGCTGTTATAACCAAATTAACTCACATTCCAAGAGATCAGCCAAAGTCTTAGTTCGAAGAGCTACAGGTCTTTTTGTCTTGTCATTAGTGATGGCAAATTCTTGCATACCCAGCTCTTCTGCCACTTTGGCCTGCGTCCTGTTGTTCACCAAAGAACTTCTCAACAGCTGCAACAGAAAGAAGTGCGACTCCATGGTAACAATTAGCAATGCCAAACTATAAAAGGTAAGGAGAGCTGGGCAAAAAAGTTACTTTTATCCTTGTAGCCTCTCACTTGTCTCAGTTTATTGACATTTTGTTTCAGCACACCTCAATGATTTACATAAGTACATACACATTCTTTCTACTGCTGATTTTTCCTTCTGTTTCAATTCTTCTCACCAAATTTTATTTATTCTATGGACGCATTACTTCTGTAGATATGTCTTGCATTTAAAATGCTTGTTTGTGAGCTTCTTTGCAATCATATACCATCTCTTCATCAGTCCTGTACTTTTTCAGCTAATCTGCATTTTTCCAGTTTACGTAATACACAGCTATATACACTTTTCCACATAAAGTATAAACATACAGCATTCTGGAGTCTGTAGAGCAGTCCCCAGTGTCCACCAAATAAGAAATAAATAGGCAGTAATTAAAACAAATGAACATTAAAGCAAGGCAGTCTAGTGTTTCAGAACAAGCAGATGAGGAAGCTGCTCCATTCATTTGGACAGAGAAGAAAATGCACAGCTGGAAAGCCTGTATGTATGTACTCTTTGCTCTACTGAAGAGCCTGTATGTACTCTTTGCTCTACGGAATGCAGTATAGCTGCGCCGATGCAGCCCTGACAAAGATCCGGCTCTAACATTTTCAGTGTATGACAATGTCCAGGACACCTGGTTCTCCAGCAGAGTTCCCTGAAGTGCTTAACTCAGGCTCTAGGCAGATTGCTTAAATAAACATAGAGCTCTGCCAAAGATACAATCTCATACAGCTTAAAGGAGTATTTTTGAATTTTAGGGTTTCATACAATTTTCTGAACCCCTGGTTAAGGTGAGCTTTTTTCCTGTTTGCTTTTCTGCTTTAAATAAAACCCCATTAATTTAAGAAGTTAGGGATATTATGGGAGGTGTGGGCGGGAGGGAAAGAATGTCTCTCTTTTCCACTGTTTATATATAATCTAGAGTTGAGAAGCTGCATACGTATTTTTTCTCTCTTTGTCTTCCATGTCACATTTGCTCAGCTTATTAGATCCAAGTTATATGCTACCTGGCTCCAGCATGTCAACTGAGCTTATGAAAATCAAGATTTATTTGCTGCACTTGATACTTCATCTCTGCCAACAGATAAATAAAGAACAGTATGTTCATAATTTGTTTGGCAATGATGTATGAAGCAGATACTCACAACTTGATCTTCATAAACTAGGCAGACTGCAGATAGGATTATTACCTGCCTCCCTAACCTCTGCTTAAACTCATCTTCTACTTGTTCCTTTCCAAAATTCTTCCCCTTTATGTCCTTAAGATAAATAAACAATACATCCCCCAACAAAATCCTAAGTACAATATGCAACCTACGAGACAGAAGTGCAGTATCATGTGACAAAAATCTGTTTCTTGTAATGGGAGAAGAAGAATCTCTTTTGCTGTGCTTGCAGAGTACTTATTTTGATGGGACCCGTAATCATGATTAGTAGGACCATGAACCAAAGAGCAACATATACACCACACAGTGAATTAGAGGTGGGAAAAAAAACAGTTATCCTTCTAGCACTGTGGTTATCAACTTGCTCCGTATTATAATTTGCCTCCTCTACAAATGTGATCTAGCAAGGCACTCAATTCCCCTTAATGATACGGGGAAGACATGGTACCTGTGCCTTCCCAGCAACTTTTTTAGAGCTAAGTCTCCACTCTGGCAACACACAGCCTGCATCATTGCAGTTGCTGTAACATGTGATAGATGCTTAACTGAAGCTTAACTCTAATTAAAAACCAATTTTTTTTTTATTTTTCCATCTTCACACAGCATACTACTACCCATGACTGTAGCATAAGCCAGTACTGGAGAAGCTGTATCTTCCAACAGCCAACAAAATTTCATCCTCTTTTTTGGCAGATCACTTGGATATTTCAAAATATGTAGACAAGACTACATTCTTCCTTTTTCTTAAATATAGTTAATTTACAGACATCTCTCCACAAGTAATCACTACACACTGGGAAGCCACTACATTGACAGTCAAGTGGAATCTTCCCATCCTTGACCAAAATTGTCCTCAACACTACAGACACCATTCAGCTGATGTTCCATTATTACTTCAAATGTATGTTCCCAGATAACAGGAGAAAGAGCTCAGTGTTTGCTGTTTCTCTTCAGATCCCACATCAGTCTCCTTTCTCACACGTCTCATTTCATTTGTCCTCCAATTTAAAAAACATTCTAAGACAATTTTCTTTTTCACTGCATGCGCATCCCCAGAGTTGAAATTTTATTCTGGGCATTGCCTACTTCTCCATAACTTAATGTGTTTTCAGCATCCATTCCACTCAACTTTGTAGTTTCCCCTACAAACTTGGACTGCGCAACTTGTTCTACTTGCCAACTCACTAATCATTAAATTAAGCAACGCAGAGATGTTCTGATCATTGTTCTGAGTATTTACACCCATTAATAGCAACACTTCATAGCCTTCCTGCCAAATAGTTCTTGAAAGATTTATCTTACTATAACAACACTGATGCCTACATTCTTAAAAGTCACCCACAAAGCAAAAAAACCCATCAATCTTGGATTTCTGCCTTATGTTTTTGCTTCCCTGAAGAATTAATATGACAAAGCTCTTCCCCTTTTAACTCTTACTTCAAAAGTTCAGGCTTTATCTACTCTGTCTCCCGAATGGTGCAGAACCACCCATACAAATGTAAATGCAACTTAAGATCTGGTGAAGAAAAATTAAAATTACTTTTAGTCAGAGCATGTACTTTTTTTCTTGTAAACAGCTTTAGCTCAAAAGACCCAAGAAGCATATTCTTGGAAAACATTGCCTGCTAGAGACTTAGCATTGCCGTCCCTTTATTGATTTGAAAAAAACACTCTGAGTAGCTAAGAAACCTACAGTGCTAGTTCCTAACTTTAACTAGAAGACTTGACTTACATTTTTTTATTCTAGTCAAGACTTGAAAACTAAGAAAAATCTAGTAAGCCTAAGAAAATTTCTTCCTCACAAATAAAGCCACAGCTTCAGTACTAAATGAATCAGTCAGGAAAAAAACTACATATATGACCACCCTATGTTTAAAGTACTGTAAATTGCTCAAAGATCCCCAAATTGGGTCGTTCAGAGCCCACGTAAGAGAGGCTGAAAGGCTACAGCGATCAGCAACAGATGACTATAACAATAGTAAAATTAAATTCAAAAGCTACCACAGGAGCTCCAGATCGAAGACAACAGGAAAACCAGACTAAAACAGGTTGTAAAAACTTCTTATCAGGAAACATAACCCTGCCTGGTTGCAGGTTCAACAGACTAGAAGTCATGAATAAAAAAAGTAATGTGATGTGCCTATTTAAATAAATGGTTTAAGACACCCATCTTTAAACAAGAACTAGTCTTATCTCCCAATTTCATCACTGACATCCTTAAAATTATTGATCTATTTCACAGACAGAACAAAGATTATTGCACTGGGCTCATAAATCACCATTTCCTATTCATTGCAGTGCTCATGACTTAAAATTAACAAAGCCTTATTAAGAGCAGTGGTTGCTGAGCCTTCTTTTATTAATCAAATCCAGAATAATTCACTAGCTGCTCCCATAATTTCAGTCTCCATCCCCACTCTTGCTTTTCCGGGAAGCATGATTGATGGCAGTCTCACCGTTAAGTGCCCTTCATGATGATCAGGGAAATGTATGAATAAATACTCTGTGGCTACCAACTGCATTATGGAGTCACCCAGGAATTCCATCCTCTGGTTATGGCCTCTGAAAAATGAGACATCAATGCAGCAAAATCAATAAGCACTCAGGGAGGAAAAAACAAAACCAGCATGCACACACAAATTAAAATAAGGAGTGCTCTGAAAGCGAGCCTCGCTCATTTCCAAACACATTTAAGATAATTTTCCAGTGTTAACCAGGTGAGATGAAAACACAGTTCATTACTGTTGTAACACCGACTTTCAGGGAGAAAGCAAATCAGGGTAGCTACATATAAACATAATTATTAGATCACAGATCTGTGACTAATTGAAGAAGAGCAGCAGCTGACATCAAGTTTGTAATGGGATAAGGTCTCTACCTGCAACTTCTTACAAGAAAGTGAACTAATGAATGCAACAACTTCAACAGAGATAAAGGTCTGTCCATTCACAAGAAATAAAAGGATCAGGGTTTAAACCCATGCGAGATCCTGGACTGGGTAACCACTGGTATGGTTCTACCATTTGCTTTAAAACAGGGCCTGGCAGCTCTACACACCACGGAACACAAAGGCTGCACTTGGACCAAAGATCATGATTTTACTTCTTTCCTCTGCCCAAATGTAGCTCCAAGTATGTTTTGCTACTTTCTCAAGAGTGACGTGCAAATATCAACGATGCAGGAAGCTCAGAAGAAACACTGGGACGGCACTCTAACATCTTTTATAGTCTTTCCTAAGGTATCCAATACCGACTACTGTCAGAGATGGGATACTGAGCCACGGGGGCTTGCGAACATAGCTGCTCTATTCTCTTCTGGAGAACAGATATAACATCTAGAGCTTATTTACAGATAAAGCAATCTGGGATACTAACAGAAAGACCAACAGAGCTACACGAGGACTCTTGCTGTGTACTCACAGAGTCAGATGGTTAAAGCCTACTGTCCTCAGAGTGAACGCACGTGCTAGAAGCCGAACATGAGTAAAGATGACTCCAATTGCATCCTCAAACTCTGTAAGCTTTTGAAGAACTGGAGAGGTCTCGATGAGCTGCCTATCAGTATTGGACTCCTGCAGCTGTAAATAAAATGAAGTGCCAACAATGACAAACTGACACTGGTTTAGAACTTTAAAGAGAAAGCCTTCTGTAAACCAAGGGCAAAGAATACAGAATACAGCGAACAAGTTGTTCTGTGGGCAGCTGAACTGAGAAAACCCAGTTTCCTCTGTCTTTTTGTCTTGGATAACTACCACACAAAGAAGATGTGAGCTCTGATGTATGCTTTTTTAACAGTTGAGGCATTTATAACACATTGCTTATATGGTCTTGTCTCTACGTGTGGATAACATGGGCTACTTATTTTCACAAAACATGTATAATTGTACGTGTCTGAGTTTTCTAATATTATCACATTGTTTGCAATTGAGCAAGAGATTCAAAAATTATTAGAACAGGCCTGGCAGACTTGACAGCATGTCAAGTCTGCCAAAGAGAGGCAAAACCCGAATCTATTTCTCCCACTTTCCTTCAGTATCAAAAATCAAGAATAAATACTTAGTCTATGAAATTCAAAAGGGCACAATAACACAAGAAAATTAAAATGATCACTTTGGGTCAGTATCTTTTCTTATCAGTTTCTTGTCTGATGTCCTTGATGTGGTGACACTGTTAAATGGCTTTCTGGAGCTGGGAAATAGCTTAGACATTTCTTTTGCTTTTTTGCTTCCTCATGCATAGTCCTTTATATTTATCTACACAGAATTTAATCTGCTTTTTTACTCCATAGTTAGTCACTCTTGCATTCTCGCAATGAGACTGCAATTCTTCACCCTGTTGTTGTCCCTGCTACCCTGAATAATTTGGTATTGTCAACAAAGTGCCACCTCACTGCTCATCCTCTTCCCTAAGTTGTCGATGCGAACAGCCTGTACTTCAGCAAAGATCCCTAGGGAAATCTGCCAGTGATCTCCATCCCTTGTTAGATGTGGTCATTTCACTCCTGTTCTCCATTTCTGATGTTTCAGCCATTCCTTTAAATCTTGTAAGGACTGACAGTATTCACTGGGGTTGCTTTTTTTTTTTTCCCCCTTCCTTTTTTTTTTAAAACACTTTTTTAAAAGCCTTTCATGAGTGCCCTTCCAACAGCCTCTTAGGAAACCCAGCAGACAGTATGATCTGCATCATCACACGCTTTTTTGTTTCCTCGAAAATCTCCTATTCATTTGTGAGGCAGGACTTGTCTTTACCTGTAGACTCTTTCTGAAGAGACCACATTTATCCACGTGACCACTAATATTTTTTTCATTGCTATTTCTGCTGACTTGGCTACTGCCAAATAACAGGGTTACAGGCCTTCAGTTCTGTATATCTTACCCAGAGCTTTTTTTTTTTTTAATTGGCATTTCATTTGCCATATTGTTATGGTGACTTTTAATAATTTTTAAAATGCCATTTTTCAGGCTAGCTGTGCCCAAAGGCCAACCTGAGCAGCCTGTGTTTCCCCTACTGGTAAGTAGAGAGCTAGGATGGCTTCTGGGACATGGAAGAAAATAAATTTTTATCACACAAGTTAAGGTAGTAGCAAGAAATGATAAGCTGCATATACTGACTGTCTCCAATCTCTAAGCAAAGTCCAAGTCGTCTTTGTGAAAGCAGAGATAAAGAGATTAAAATAAGAGAAAAGAAAAATCTAGAGTAAGAAGAATTTTCTTGGGAGCTTGTGCCACCATGCAGGATAGCTGGTGCTGAATCTCAAAAGTTTATCTTCCCATTAAGACTCTTTTCTATTTACACTCACAGAGAATTGGTTGTAAAAAACACTTCACGCACACTGATTTGTTGCTGAAGATTTTGACTATGTACCCATTACAAAATCCGTACAAATATATAAGACATTTCAGATGGAGGCCTCAAAGTGACCTTCTGTTGGAAGGGCGTGCTCATAAAAAGTTTCAAAGGAGTCAAACTGACTGCACAAAACATCAGAGATTTGGTTGGACAAAAGAAACCATTCAGATGTTCATACGATCCTGAACACCTTACTAACTGACTGAGTGACAATCTGAATACAGCTATTCTTGCAGCACCCCTGCATACTTGGAAATGCTACCATGTTTGCTGTGAAGACAAGGAGCTACAGTGCAGAGACGCTCTGTGACTTGCTCTAGGTCTCCCCCAGAATTCAGTCAGGGAACAAGGACTGGGAAATCATTCTCCCAACTTCCAGCCTTGTAAATTAAGAACTTGTGAACTTGTATCCTCCAATACATGGAGGATAAATTAGCCTTCAGACACCTTCATAATTTCAGTGTTTACTTGGTATTAAAGCTACTGGAATCCCTGAAACAACCATGCTATCATTGCGCATGCACACCCCACCAAAAAAAAAAAAATCAGAATCTTACGCCATTCAACTAATGTGCCTTCCTACTATTAAGGTTTCAGTCTTAATTTCAGGTTAACAAAATATGTACATAGATTATTTTTGTACCCTTTTCCCCCCACCTTTGAGAAGATGAAAAAGAAGCTGCCAAAATGTCACCTCTCACTAGATTTATTGTATGAGAAGCACAATTATATAATCAAACGTGAGCCAAGGAAAGGTGAATGATTAATCCTCAGAGAGGCAGAGACTCATTATAAAAAACAAACAAACAACAAAATCAAACACAAAGGCAAATATATACACTCCTTTGGCTACTTTTTAGCGCAATTTCTGAGATGTCATTACAATGGAAACCTATGGAAAACTATCCCTGAAAATAAAACAGAGCTATGAAATTTATTACAGAAAGGGATACACTTACTTGGAGTGGGTGTAGTGGATAATTAAGCCATACATCCCGCAGGTCCTGCAAACATTGATAGATGCCTTTAATGCTCAAGAGAGTCATTTAACAAATTTCACAGTACTAAATAAAATGTCATTACTTGAAATACTGAACTATTTCAGATGCTGGCTCTGCTTATTGCAAATTCAATAGTGCTGGCAAACTAATTTTTAAAATCGTGTATTTGCTGTTCAAACTGCCTGTAGTTCTTCCAATTAGCTTGTGTCAAAGAGTTGGAAAAATCCTTGAACCAAATAAAAAGTGGTTAAAGGAAGAAAAAGATTTGTTTAAGCCTCAGGACTAACTTTATTTGCAAGTACTCCTCAGTAGCAAGTTTGACTTCACCAAAGGCAAGGACTAAAAAAGAAAAACATTTATTTTCTTCTATTTCATATAGGCTTCCTTCACTACAGGCACCGAGCAGCAAATAAACACTGAGTTACAACAGGCTTCAAAATACTTTTATTTCTAATAAGCTTTATAATTTCACAGACTCAGAGACTTTCAAGAAGGAAAAGACTGTATAATTCGTCCCCTCACCACTGCCACGTGTATTGTCCCAGCAGTATGTACCAATTACTTTCCTTAGTCATTACACGGGATAAATTCCAACTAACAGTGATCTGAGATCAGTATGCAAGACTAGATCAGACTTTAATTATGCAATTGGGTAAACACTGGATGAAATCCCTTGTATTTTTTTTCAAAGATGTGTTTAAAACTTTTAGGAGTGGGAGGATTTAACTGATGAAACAGGAATAGTCGCTCTACACGTGCATCATTTCCCCAAAGCATGCTGACTGAATCCACAGCACCCATCTCTGTTTTTAGAGCAGCACTTTGAACAGAAGTCTGCAGGTTTCCCACGCCACCCACCCTTCTCTAAGCCAACCAACAAACAGCACACCTGAGGAAACACCGTAATTTTTTTGCCTGAACCAGTGCAGCTTGCTGTCCTAATCGCACTATGCTACGTTCAGTTTCCAGGAACTATAGTACAACAGGTGTGTTCCTGTTCACTGGTGATTCTCAAGTAAAACAACAGACAAGAAAGCATGTCTTCAGTTATTTTTAAAACGGAAATCAAGTCATATAAATATATAAATACCTTGTCATTGAAGAGTAAACGTCCGAATAATTGTTTTGCTTCTTCTAGGCTCCCCTCTAGATAAACAGCTCCTGCATGAGGGGACCAATACGTCAAAGGTCCAATAACGCATTAGTACTTAAAAAATTACTAAGCACAGGGAAGTCAAAGATCTCTGCCGCCTTCATCTCTAATACATTTATTTTTTAACAGCATGCTTTCTGTAGTAATACTAATTTTTTGAGAAATTTAAAGCATGTTAAACACCAACATAAATCAAAGGTCATAAAATGCACAGAAAACCCTGAGACTGTTAAATCAGTGATAGAAAATGATACATCCAAAGAGCAAAGTTTAAACAAATTAGGCTAGAAGCAATTTATTTCTAAAAGCAGTTTCCAGTCAGCTAACTATACCATGTATGTAGATAGTGAAAGCCATGAAATGCATTTCAATAGTTAGCAAATAATTTTCATTTATTCTGTACTTTCAACAACATTACATTCTGCAATAGAAATGATGTGTCAGGACTATTCCAAACCTCAATGTCTTCCCAGTATCACAATAATACATTGTCTGAACTGGAAACTGCACCTCTGCATCTCTCAATTTCTGGAGATTATGGTACTGTGTTTTTGGGTTTTTTTAACTGCATATACAGCCCTCACTAGCCCTCCACATGCCCATTAGTAACAAGCTCTGCAAAACTTGTGCTAGCATATTATATTTTTTGTGTGTACCATATACACTCTGTATCTGCACAGGCACTTTATAAATTCAGTATCAACTGTCCTTTGATACTCTTTACCGGAGGGCTTCTGAAAACCTCAAACTTGTAAGCACATCTGTATAAAAGCAAGGGAAAACAGCCACATGAAGAACACAGAGAAAGGGAGTTGATGTTCCCACATACAGGGAGAACATGGTTTGCCTTGCTGTGTCTTTCCCCCCTTCTTTTCTTTCAGTTCCTCAATAGGTCAACTACTTTCTTTGGACTTTTTGGAGAACAGTTTGGGGGTTATAAGACTATCTTGCCAGAGGCATATTACGAAAGCACAGAATTTCAAACAGGTCCTAGGCAGCCTGCTTATACTTTTGGTTATTTTCATCACCGGGAAGAAGCACCAGACTTTTATGAAGGTTCTCAAGTAGGAGGCTCCAGACCCCACATATACTTTTATAGTCCCTTAACAAACTCCCAGATTTTAGCTATGGCCCTGACAAAATCTTATTGCTCAATTAACTTTGTGAACAACTTTGTATTGGAGGTTAAACGGCAAGCCTGCTCTCTTATCAAATCTCAGTGCTTGCCAAATAGTCCTCATCGTGACATCCTAGACAAGCTGAAGTATATGAACAAACCCACAGATACATATCTAGTGTTCCTTTTCTATTTGTTTTTTATTTTTAAATTAAAGATCAAAGCACTCATGGAAAGCAAAATAGAGTTAAAAAGAAAACTCTTATTTCTTGATAAGATGAAATGCAATTTGGCCCAAGGCAGAATGCACAGAACTGTTGTAGTCTAAGCCAACTATGATCTATTTTTCAAAGCAGGACAAAATGCTTTAGGAGCTTGTGTAGTATGTAAAGACCTGGATCGGGGCTAAACCATTCCCATAGCTAATACCACGTACAGTACAGTTGGATGAATATGAAGCCAAATCAGTGAGATTCAGCTTGCTTTGTGTATTCCAACAAGTAAAGTTTTATAAACATAGAGCTTGCATGGATATAATGGATCGTGTTTCTGCCTTACTGCTTGCTTATTTGGTAACTGTGGTCAGGCAGTCCTGATTTCTTTTCCAACATAAATTTATCGACTAACGCAGCCAGTCTCTAATCAGCATGTTAGTGCCCAACAGCAAATTTGACACAATTCCCCTTCATCCTCAGCTAGAGGGTTTTGGTAGCTTTATTACACCAACCATGGCATATTGCCATGCTTTTTATTTATAAGGAAAATGCAAAGATGAAAAAATATTTACTTGGCAAGTGTCACGTTTAATTCACAGAAAGTTAGCAGGGCACAGAGGAATTGGGCTGGTGACTTTGGTTGGGAATGCCTGGTGCATTCAGAAACCAAGCTGCAGAGCTTAAAATTCAGGGCTGAAGTGCCGCTCCCCATTTTGCAGGTGTGTGCAAGTACTGTTGGAAGCAGTGAACCTGCACTTTTCCTGCCAGACCATGGTGACTGAACTCCTCCCCCCAGACGACTGCAGGTGGCAGGCCATGGTGGCGCACGAGAGGTGGAGTTCTGCGGTGACGGACAGAAATGCTGCGCCGCAACAGCATGAAATGGGTGCGTCTTCAGTGCATGGGAAGCAGGATACGGAAGATGAGATTTTCATTTTAATACTGCACACTCATCATGTTATACATGTGGCACGTGTGCAGGAGATGGGAAGAGACGAAAAAGATTTAAGAAGCTTTACTATCGCATATCCTTACTAACACTACTCAGCACAGACCCACGTCACCTCCATCACAGTCAACATGGCATGTAGACATATTAAAACATAACTGTCTGCACACACAGATACACATTTTACCTATTAGGGCTTCAAAGCAGTTGGCCATGGCATGGCGGAGATCCGATTCCCTGCAAAGGTCTGGACCATGAGCATAAAGCATAAATCGATCTAGTTCCAGCTTCTGCAGAATATGTGGAAAGAGTTAAAACTATGGCTTTAGAAGTACAAGAGTACCACTTCTAGTCACTAGAGTTCAATTACAGTATTATTATGCAGCAACTAGGTTTGAGGGATCTTTAAAGCTTTTATCCATAGTTTCAGTTCAGACATAGGCTAAAATCAGAGGACTTCATATTTGTTTATCAGAGGCAAGCAACTAGACTGTGATAGCGTGGGAAAGCTAGGAATTATCAAACCAGATTGTCAAGGGCAGCCAGATCAAAACATGTTACTAGTGAGATTTAGGAATGAGTTCAAGAGGAGGGGCTGAGGGTATGACAGAAAAACAGCCTGATACTGGCTGGATGGTGCAATGTGCTGTGTTTCTTGCTGGTAGTTTGCCCTCATGTGATTTGCCTTCAAAAATGCCAAAGGGACATTCAAAGGTTGAGGAGCTAACACCGAGGAAAAAGATTTTGCTTACAAGAAGAAGATAAAGTAAAACAGTGAGGAACAGAACTCTGGTAGACACAATCCAGTGAACATCTGGCTTTTTCCTTTAAGAGTGTCAACAGGTGGCAGTAACAAAATCCTCTGGGCACTGCAAGCAGAAGACTGATATTTTAATCTGCAGTGCCACCTAGCTTTCTTTTTTCTTTCAAATGTGCATCATTAACATTCATCTGTTGCCTAAACCATAGTTCTGCTTGCCAGTCAGAATCTCAGGTAGTGAGTCAGATATCTTATATGATAATTTTGCTATAGAAATGCAGGCAAGAGCTACTAGGTTCTCTTTACATATTCATCTTTTTGACACAAAACCATTATTGAGATTTTTAAAGAAGAGGTTTGTGCACCTTGCAAAGTCTGTATGAGAACAGGTTCTTCCCAACTAAGGGTATTTCTACTGACCAATTTCTCATTAACTTTCAACTTCATCCTCCTAGAGTATATTTAAGATGTAAAAGTGGAGACTAAGTTGCTTGAGGTACGTGATTTAGACACATTTCAATTGGAAAAAAGGAGTCTTCCATTTTCAGTGAATGAGAGCCTATTCACTGCTGCATAACCCAGGGAATTACCACTTACGATGTTCCATCACACTTTACAAAGTGCAGGGAGCACTCGTTAGAGTCAACATAGAAGTGGAACATTAATTGTTTTATATCAAGTTAAAACTTCTTACAGATTATTGTCATTTGTTCATGTTAACTGGAGTTGTTTAGGTGTTGGTGTGTGTCCCCTCCCTCCAATGGCTTAGCTCCATTTTCGAGGCTTGCATTCAGCATATTTTGCATGTGTTTTGCTTCTCAATTTTGAACATAACACGTTTCAGATTATTTTTAAAATTCCTGCTACAATGTCCCTTAGAAGCTACAGAAATTTGTCATTTGATCCTCAATTAAAACGGCATTCCACATGCACAAGAGAAGTTGAGGAGCTGAGAATTATACTGAGGAAGTAAACTGAATGCAACATGACACTGCAGGGGCTAATTAAAGGGAGAGAAACCAGGAAGGTCATATAGGATATACAAGAGGAAAAAAGGGTAGGTTGGGAAATCAGGAATGTATAGATATCTAATATTTACAGTTGTATCTAATAAAAATAAATAGAGTTCAAAAAATTTTGCAATAAAAATTTTCAAAAGTTGTCCATGTACAATGATAAAGGCTGTGAACAGAGCTTTAAGAATGTATGAGCTTTCCTGATGCAGGTTTTAAAATAATAACATGAATTCAAATGCCAGGCAGTTCAATACCATATTTGTAAACAAAACCCTGATTTGAAACATTTCAATCAATTCATGCTTATCTAAATCATTAAAGAAAGCTTTGGAGGAAAAAGACTGTGTTCACTCCCTACCCTATGTGTCTCCTGAGAACTGAGCAAAAAGATGACATGTTTAGAAATTATGCAGTTTTTGCCAAAATCTCAAGATTAGATATGCTTGTTTAAATTACTGTGTGAATATGAACAGAAAAGATTAAAAGAGCACTTGAAAACTATCAGCAATACAGAGTGGACATGTGTGCACGCATACATGCATGCACAGCTTAATTTATTACATCAGTAAGTCTCAGACTGTTTTTTAAAAAAAACATGCTAATAAAATCAAATATGACTAAGGGAATACCAAATTATCTACGAATAGAGACTTAATTGACTTTCTGTATCATATTCCTGCCCCCCAGTATCATGTAGAAATGTAAGAAGCTCTGTCATTCACAGAATTAAATGAAATAAAATTCAGAGGCACCTCAATTTTTCCCATGAGGTAATACAACTTTTCACCAAAAGCCTTTCTAACATATTTCCCTTCCACAGTTCACAGCAAATCTGAAAATGACTGCGGAGGTTAGGGAGCAGACAAAATGATTTTTTCACCACTTTCTCTACCACCTGCTGCCATGTTCTCCCTAAATATTCCATCATGAAGTCCTTTTATAAACAGCCAGTTTCTTTCTTTTTCTTCACTAAATTTCTACTATCAGCTTCATTACTTTTGCAATTTTTATATTTCTAGTTATTAGGACCTTCAGCATAAGCATCCTAAAACCTTATCCTTCTGCCTGCAAAAATTACTCCTCCTAAAAACATGTTTCGGAGAAAACACTAAGTCCTACTTCATCTTTAAAATCTACTTTCAAACTGAAAAGAGTTCCTGTATCCCAAATCTTGTACACAAAACACGGTAAAGACACTGATGGTCAAAGCAGGCAGATCCCTCAAGAAGCAATCCATGCACTAGTAGTATCCTACCTATGGGTGTCCAATACAGAGACGTATAAAACTGTACCTTAGCCAACATGGCCAGGTGTTGGTTCTGTACGATGGCAGTGCGGTATGTAGCTAATCCTCCTTCCTCCAGAGTGGGAAACAGGTAGTACAAGTGGACACTGGCAAAACAAAAATCAAATCAGATGCTGTCAGCATTTGGTTAAAGATGAACCACGTGTGCCTCTAGGCAACAGTGCCTTTCCCTCAGATCCTAGCTAGTAACACAGGTCCCTTCCCAAGGTGGCAACTCAGCTTGAAGTAAGGTAAAGAAATAAACATTAAACCAATGCTCAATAATATTTGATTGGATAGCATTGGCAGCAGGGGAGGAAGAGTGCTGTTTCTCTACTGGGCAGCACATAATCTCTAAATCCCTGCAACGACACACACTTCCCTCGTCTGAAGGTTTCTATCTATCAGCAGCAGTGGGTTCAGCAAGGTTGACACACAGAGGATGCTGAGAAATAAAGCACAAGGGAATTGTCAGCCTTGAGAAACTCCGTGCCACAGGCAGGCAGTGCTTTAAGATGATACCAGTGATTCAGGCTGGACCACTACTCTGGATATTTGTTTTAAAGTTTCTTACAGTACTTTAACAGATGCTACAGAGCCAAAGAACAGAACTCAACAGTCTGTATTTATCAAATGTCATTAATACCACAGAAAAAAAAAAATTGAGTAAAAATCACAGGCTTTCAACTGCTTTTAATGTTTTTCATCATGCAAGTAAGATACTTCATAAAACACAAAAAAAGTAATTCAGTGATCCAACCAAGATCTGAGTAAGGGATAAATGATTCTGAATATCTTCATATATGACTATCTAACCCACGTCAGAAAGAAGTTAATACAGAGAGGGTTTTCAACACCCCACAAATAAGGCAGTGGATGGCACTAATTATTAAAATATTTTATTAACCCAGTACACAGGGAGAAAAGTGCAGATGGATCCAAGATTATTTAAGGACAAAAATTGCTATTAAACTTAGAAGCAATCTAATCAAGCATCATAATTCACAAAAGCAGAGACCTGAAGTAGAGTTAGGAGAAAAAAAAAAAAAAAATCAGGCTTAAATAGGTGCTTACATGCTCTATTGAAGAGAAATGTAGCTCAGTTTTTTTCTGAATTGAGACAAAAGTTAGCTCACAAAGTCAACTGATGGCTGATGAACAATGACAATGAAAAATGCAAGACATTTTAATCAGCAAGTCTTCCATCTTATCAGCCTGTACTGTTGTATGAGAGAAAAGGCCATGGGTTTTAAGGGCAGTGGAGACATTTATAGGCTAATAGCTTTTAATACTGAGTAGCTAATGGCTAGTAGAGGTTAGTAGAGAATGGAGATATAAGGGCAGTTTTGTTATTCATACAACAAACTTGCTGAAAGAGAAGCTTTACAGTAAACAAGACTAGTCCCCTATTAAAAACAGTAGAACAAAGCAGCTGAAAATTGATTATAATCTTCATTTTGTTCAAACTGCCTGCCTCTAGTACTCAGGTAAGAGAGGCCAATGGAGGTAACTGATAATATCCCCGTACTGTTCACTGATTTCAGAATACTCAGACCAAAACTGGAACAATTTTTGATGAACCTTGGTTTTTTCTTACTACTTCTAAATAAGTTACATTTGTGCTCAACTATTTTATTTACATACAGACATTATGCAAGCTACAGCCCTAATAACTAGAAATATAAAAACTGCAACACATGCAATATTACCAATAAATGCTTTTCACTTGCAGCTGGAGAAAAAGAACCCACAGAAACAAAATGGCGTGCTAAGAAAAATATATTTCCTTTAAAAAAAGGGTACAAAGTTCAACCTGTCTGTAGATGAACAATCTCTAACCCCCATCAACTTAAAATTGCATTCCATGAAACAGAAATTCTAGCTTTTCATTTTGTAATCTTCCTTGTTGTATCGTCAGTACTGAAGGCATTTTCAAGAGAGCTGCGTGCAGATGTGCAGCTCTAAATATCAGGCAGGACTGCAAACATACACAGTCATAAAGTAGACACTGCAAAGCCTAGTAAGCCCAACGGTATGACAAGAACATACAAAGGTGAGGACTGTGGAAGAATTCCCCATGTACCTTGTTAAGAACTCCACCACAGCATCTCCCAGAAATTCTAAACGCTCGTTGTGGTTAATCCTGAAAAAGGCATTTTAAGGTTTACTATCAACTAAGTAACACATGCTGGTTATTTACACAATACAATTAAAATAGAACAAATCAGAGTTGATTGCTAATCAGCCATGATAGACATTCTTGCAGCCTTCCCCACTCCCTCTGAGTTACAAACCTTTCCAAAACAGAGTAACAACTACATGAATCTTGAAGCTCAGGACTGACACCACCGCTTTTGAAATTTTCATATGTTCCATTCTGAGCTATTGTCAGGCCTTAACAAATGGAGAAAGGAAACAGTACCGTTGACTGGCACCGAGGTCAGGTTTCTTTGTCTATCAGAGGGCACCAGGTGATTGAAACAAACAGCCTGTCTTCAGTCTCATGCATGCAACTAGGGAAGTGTACGTAATTAACATCAACACCTGCAGGGTGTGATGACTCTGCAACAGATTCATTGGTATGGCAGAGCTACAAGGGAGTAAGTACTTTCATTTTTCATAGCACCTTCAAATGCTCTGTTTTCTGTAACTTCCTTTGAGCTCCAGAATAAAAATGGCTGTACAAGAAGATGCATTCACAGATGCCATTAAGCTAGTAGAATCTTATTTCCTGTGTTTCCTTTTCTTCTATCACTGCTCCTGATTTTCCTTTGTTTTGCATAAAGTTTCATTTCCTCCTGCCTGCTTATATTACAAAGGACTAACAGGACACAGCAGCTGAAAAAGAAGGGGAGTTTGTCTTCAATTATATACAAATTTCTGCTCTACACAAAGCATGTGAGTAGCACTATTTTGACTTCACACGTGACTGTAATAGAGTTAAAGCCATTGCCACAGGATTTTTTTTTTTTTAAATCCAGAAGATCCTTCTCGAGTTTTGACAGTTTTTGTTGCAATTTGCACTCCCCCAACAATTACGTAGTTAGTCTAATTTCTGAAATAGCAGGCCTTTGTTATGGGCTGAAAGAATTCAAGTATACCTCTGCTGTGTAAAACAATAAAGTGTGAGCAACGCTATAACTCCTCTGTGTAGCAACATAGCAGAAAACACAGATCTCTCAGAAGTGGGATTTTATATTTGTGTGTTATTTTGTGAGAATTAATGCAATTTAACCTTATCTCACGTTATCTTAAGAGGGCTGAAATAAGCTTGAGGCAGACTCTCAAAGAAAAGGGCATGGTCTAGCTGAAACAGCATTTGGGGAACACTGCAACAATAATTTATTCAGAATTCAACTTCTCCCATTCCCGAGCTTCATCCAAAATGATGACTCTTAAAAGGCCCAGTTATATCACTAGTTACCTAAAACACACTCTGCCCTCTAGTTCATGCATTTAGGAGATTTCACATGCAACTGTTTCTTGCATTAGCCATATGAGATTTGTTTATTCACTTTGGCTAAATATGGTGCCTGTGGCTATAAACCACATGTTAAACATTATTTATTTGTGCAGAATTCTTAGTGGTCATTTTAGGATTATTACATTACAACATTAATGGTTTTTGCGTGTGTCTTTAAATTGGACCAGTAAATCAGCGAAGCCCATGTTCAGTATCACACTCACATTAACTAGGTGCCATGCCAGGAAGGTACTACTGTAAGGAAACGTGATGAAGAATCCAATTTATAGCAATGATAACAATAACAACAAATCTTGGTTTTTAGTCTGCAGAAAGCAAAAATGTAGCCTTTTCATCCTCTTCATTTCAAGGATAAACAAAAATGATAAAATTATCTGTTAAAACCTTTCTCAGGAGTTTTCTGCAGGCATGACCAAACATTCACAATGTCACTGCTAATGGAGGTTCAGCATATCTTCATAATATAAGTCAAGTCAAAATTACTTTTCATTTCAACTATTTGCCAAAGCTGTTGCTGACAGTAAGCTGGATATTTCTATTAAACACCTCCCTCTGCAACAACTTCCCTACTTGCAAACAATTATTTTCGTTACCTGGAAGGAGCTGGATCATCCTGTCCTAAACGGGACATAATATTTATCAGGGTGTTTATCCCTAGAAATATAAACAATGCACTATTAAATAAACAACCACTAATTCGATTTGAATAGGCTTAGAAAATAATTACTCAAAATGTTACTTTAATTGCTGTACACAAGATCATCCTGCTATTTACAGGGTTTACTTACAGCAAGTATAATCCTTACAGATGTTCTCTGCCTAACTGACCGCAGTCCCATTACAGTACTACTGTATTTTTGCATTCAGAGAGCCAGATGAAAATATCACCTTTGCATGAAAAGGACATTCCAAACATTACAGAAACAATAAACAATTTACTTCATTACAGCTGAATATACTTTTAAGGGGTAAAGAATATTCTGCAGCAGACAGACCACATATTTTCACATTAATAAGACATTTTTACAAAACATCCTCCAGTTTGCTCATTATGTTGAGCAGCAAATTAAGAAAACAATACTTGCCAAAACCCAAGAAAATACATCCTCCCATTTATTATCCTTGCTTTTTCTCAACTCTTTACTTGTTGACTAATTTGCAGAATCCAGTCTTTTAGAAAGATTGCACTGGTGTCTACGTATAACCATTGAAATCCTCCACTGAAGGGATCTCTCAGAAGAACAATAGCCAATGAAATAATAATGGACAAAAGGTTTTCTTACTGATTAAGTGTGAGGTGAGAGAAAAATGGTAGTAGTGTAACAGCATACCTTTTTTTCTCATGTGCATATGGTGAACTTTTCTATCTCCATACTTTGGCTGTCGAATCCCACAGTTGGATAAGGAATTTCTGGCATGATCAGGATTCATTCCAAAGTTTAAGTGATGGCTTGGATGAGTCATGGCAAGCTATAATGTAGCACATACAGGAAAAAGAAGTCTTACATGTATTTTTGCAAACGTAAGAAAAAAAAAATGTCTTAGACTGGTAGCTAATAATTGTTATTTTTCAGTTTGAAGAAAGGCTACGAAGTGATGTCGTCAATTAGTAGCTTGGTTCCAGCAATTTAAATGTAGGTTGTACTATTTCAGATGTCAGAAAGAAGCAACACTTATGCCCAATCATCAGTTTAACTAATTAACTTTCAACAGTTTTTTTCTTTAAAGAAAAATTAGTTTAGAAGAGAAAAAGCATGAACTGTCAATTTGCCCTAAGAGTTTTGCTTACCAGCTTTGCTGACCTGATTTCAATACATTTGCTTATTTAAACATATATTCACTCTAACATTGCAGCATAAATATTCATATTAAAAATATGAACAACTAAAAAGAGCTTCTCAGCCATTCACATATTTGATTTAGGTTATTTAAATATCTACGAAACTTTCCTACTTCAAAAAACCAAACAACAAGAAACAAGTATATTATCTCTGGCATGGTTATTCACAGAAGAACTCTTTCTCTCATGACTACAGAGGGCCACTCTTCAACTAGAAGAGAACAGCAATGGCAGGATTGGTCTTCTGTTTTACATTTGTACCATCTAGCATTATCAAAAGCTTACTCTGCTGCTGATACCACCACTACAAAAATGGCCACAGTAAATAGAACTACAGCTAGTTTTTATGACTCCATCCTGCAAACTCACACATTTTCTCTTTCTTTACACATAAACAGCTAAAAATATTATGCTTGTATAAATGTATGTGTACACACACCTTGTATACAAAACAAGAGATATATTCGCAAATTCAAGCTGCAGAAAGTTACTTCTGAAACACTTGCAGGACTGGTGCTGCAGACTGTGAGCAAAGACATTCCAGTAGTGCATTCAAACATTGTCTGTGGCTTTACAAACACAAGACTTAGAGAGTAAAATTACATTTAATCAACAATAAGAACTTTCTCCAAGTCTTTTTTAATTCCTCACTAATATTAATAAATTTGTCATAATTGCACATTCTCCACTTCTGCTCCATATGAACTGGATGACACATTACAACTTCTCTAAATAGTTAAATTAGTGTAATCTTTCTTGCCCAGTCTGTACTTTAAAAAGAATACATCATGATGAAACAGGTAAAAATCAATGCAAAATTATACATCTAATATTGCCTACGCTTAAGTAGGTGACTGGTGCTATATACATTTTTAAAAAGCTCTTTCTCTTCTGGAACAAGTTTGTAGGTTTTAAATAAATTTGCATAGGGATCAAGCATTAAAAAGTACTTTATCTAAACATTAATTTGACTAATGCTGACAAACTTGATTTTATGCTTTCTCCCCTTTTCGACTGCAATTTGCTTTTTGGTTTGAGAGTCTGGTATCAGCATTTTGAAGATTTCCATCACTGCATTTTTATCTTTCATATTAAAATTAAGGCAGACAGCAAACAACCAAATCCTACAAGATGCTCAATTGTTTAATGTAAATTTCAGTAGGACAAGCCCTGGAAACCAACTTCTGGAAAACAGAGAAGCTATGAGACAAGATTTCTCTGTAAGCCTCTGCTTAAAGTAGTTTGGGAGTAAAGTGTCCATAAACATACAGAAACTGCATGTTTTGAACTTAGAGAAAATTCACCTTTCTCAACCCCAGTCAGAGGAGAGAGAGGATGCTTATTTCAGGGGGAAATCCTGAACAGCAGTCTCCATTTCCCTTCAGTAACTTCAGAAAAAACGTAAGGGGAAAGGGGCCACCATGCCAAGGGTCAGCCTTCTGGAGCTGACCAATTCCAAATACGCACTTACATAAATGACTGGTCATGCCACATGGATGCATTTAAAACAAATAAGAAATTCTCCTCTCCAGTTCCTGCCCTTGGTTGTAAATGCAAAAATTTCATCATGTTCTTGTAGAAATCAAGAGCTGAACAGAAGTTTGCAAATTCCTTTTCACTAGCTATAAATGCAAAATAAAAAGGCAATGCTTAAGTTATTCTTTTTTGGAACAACAGACGATAAAACGAAGAAGCAAGGCATGTACGCTCATCTGCAGAATAACATTGTATTCTTCACAAATATCCAAGAAAAGAACTTAGACAGAAATAATTAGCAATGTTTCTGAGAATCTTTTCAGTAAGCATATTGTTGTCTTTCTACATATTACAAGCAAATCCAGACCTACCACTGGAGCAAAGGTAGGTGTACGCCTACATGCACAGTAGATGTCTCTATTGAGAAGTCTTCTGGGATAACTGAAACTTTTGAAAGATCTGCAGTGCAAGTAATCAAGTACATCCAAGCTGTGGCAATGCAGTGCGTTTCTCAAGTTTGTACAGCAGGCAAGATTATGGATAAATGCAGTAATATTAGGAAGACGAACCAGCAAGTAGTTTATTTTTTTCGTATCTTACCTGCAGCAAGCACCTATCTCGAAAAGTGTAGCCTATCAATTTGTCCAAATGCATCAGACACTGATGGTAGCGGACATGGTGGGTGAGGACAGGAAGCATCATTGCATGCTAAAAAACAATTGCAATAAGGAAAAGCATTCAACTTAGCGTACAGAGTACTCAGCTAAGCTATAAATACAAACACTTTCCATTTGCCACAACACTGAGTTTTACTGTTTTTGTTTAAATGAGAAAAAAATAATCATAGTTTCTCAACCTTCATCATCAGAGCACTTAATTAAATCAGATGTGTGCATCTGCATAATCACAGTGGGGGAACAGCCCCACCCAGGCTAAATAAATAAATACATAAAACCAGTCTTCTATTTAAGTATTTTAAATGAGGTAAAAAGAAGTCTGGTCACCAGTAAGATCAAATTTCAATAAGCTGTGATTGAATACGATGCTATATGTTTGTACCTTCTCATTTAACACCCTGCAGTTTTAGGTTAGTACCAAAGATGAAGAAGGATCACTTCCCCTTTGCCTCATAACATTAGGGAAGAAGCACTTTATACCACTTTAACCAGCTTTCACCAAACAACAGCAGCTACTTGATTTTCAAGCACAGTTCTTAGTGCCTTGCATCGTTTCCTTCTGAGGAAGAATTAAGGGCTTTTTGAAATGCTGTAGCCTGGCATTTCCTGGCTTAATGTGCTAAAAAAAAATATCAAAAAGGTTGCTGTTTGATCATCTAGGAAACAGATAATGTTTTTCTGTTGGGGAAAATTTCAATAAAATTTTAACTAACTCTATGTTGCGACAATGAACGTCTCCCTCTTTTAGTGTTGTAATGCAGGAATTCTACATTAATATTGACTTTGGATGGATCTGGGTTGAAATAAGCAAATAGTACAGTTTATCAGTACAGTAGTACAGCAAGTATATCAACATCAAAAATCTGGCATAAGAGTGAAAAGTAAGAGCTTTAAAGAATTTTATGCATGTGACTGTTTTTGTGACACTGATATCAAATTTCAGTTCTTCAAATCATTCCTATTAGTGACATGACACAAATATATTCGAAAGAATGATGTGTTTTAAGGGAATCAAAATCTGAAGGCTATCACTATTAATTTCAGAAAGAAGAATGTCTATGATTACAGAAGGTGAGTGTATAGTGTGGAGAGATGCAAGAAAAACAAGCATACAAACCAGATGATGTACAATTTACAGAATAAACGATGTTATGGAATTCTGCATGTCATTAAAGAAAGAACAGCAGAAAATACAAACTGGTGAATGTTACGAGATCGAGAACTTAAGAATAACCAATGCAATACTTTCTGTTTAAGTAAAAGATTGTGAAATTCTTGAGAACTGAACACATAGCTGGAAGGTAATCACAGAATCATTTAGGTTGGAAAAGCCCCTTAAGATCGAGTCCAACCATAAACCTAACACTGCCAAGTCCACCACTAAACCATGTCCCTAAGTGCCACATCTACATGTCTTTTAAATACCTCCAGGGATGGTAACTCAACCACTTCCCTGGGCAGCCTGTTCCAGTGCTTGATAAACCTTTTGGTGAAGAAATTTTTCCTCACGTCCAATCTAAACCTCCCCTGGTGCAACTTGAGGCCATTTCCTCTCGTCCTATCGCTAGTTACTTGGGGGAAAGAGACCAACACCCACCTCACTACAACCTCCTTTCAGGCCTTCTACAAAGTGAGCAATACGGTCTCCCCTGAGCCTCCTTTTCTCCAAGCTAAACAACCCCAGTTCCCTCAGCTGCTCCTCATAAGACTTGTTCTCCAGACCCTTGTCCTGGTTTCAGCTGGGATAGAGTTAATTTCCTTCCTAGTAGCTGGTACAGTGCTGTGTTTTGGATTTAGGATGAGAATATTGTTGATAACACACTGATGTTTTAGTTGTTGCCATATAGTGCTTACACTAGTCAAGGACTTTTCAGCTCCCCATGCTCTACCGACTGAGAAGGCTGGAGGTGCACAAGGAGCTGGGAGGGGGCACAGCCAGGACAGCTGACCCAAACTGGCCAACAGGGTACTTCATACCATATGATGTTGTGCTCAGTACATAAACTGGGGGAAAGCTGGCCAAGGGGCTGCTGCTTGGGGACTTGCTAGGCATCGGTCAGCAGGTGGTGAGCAATTCCATCGTGCATCACTTGCTTTGTATATTCTTTTATTCGTGCTCAGTTCTCAGCTGAGGTTAAACCATGACAACCCTTCATCAGCTTCATTGCCCTTCTTTGGATGTGCTCCAGCACCTCAACATCGTTCTTGTAGTGAGGGGCCCAAAACTGAACACAGTATTCGAGGTGCCGAGTGCAGGGGTACAATCACTTCCCTACTCCTGCTGGCCACACTATTTCTGATACAGGCCAGGATGCCATTGGCCTTCTTGGCCACCTGGGCACACTGCCAGCTCATATTCATCCAGCTGTCAAACAACACCCCCAGGTCCTTTTCCACCAGATGGAAGTAACTAGTTAACAGCAAGGAAAAAAAAACTCTCCGGATCTCTGATTGGCAGAAAAATGTAAAACCACTCCAAGCAAACTGAGTAAGTGTAAATGAAATTTTATTTTGTTACCATGTTACTCATTTAGAGTTTTCTTAGTATAATTTACAAGCTAGGGGAACACCCCTCTTGTCTCCATATAAACTGTGCAGGTGTGCTTCCTATATCTTCCTTCATAGAAGGAATTCATTAAAAAAACCACCACACCAACAACAAAAACAACACCCCAAAAAGCTTGTTTCATGGGACAGCTCTGCTTCCCTGCCTGTATGTTCCACTGCACTAGGCAGTGTCCCTCAAGCGAGGTTTAATGTTCTTTATACCAATATGTGTGGCCCTATGTTTGAAGACTGAAATATAAAGTTTTAGATTTTTATCAGCTGTCATGCAGTGAATGAAGAATTGACATCTCCCTGGGAGCACACTGAAGGCCTTTAATCTGACTCTTGCAGTTACACTGACAAAGTGCTGCTTTCATGGCACTAAATACTTGATTGATTCAATTAACATGCATCATGTTGGATTATAGCTATTTGATGTTTCTGATGTTTTACGTATTTATCTTTTTTATAAGAAAAACAAAACACATACTTTAAAAATTGTATTAGGCTAAAGAATGGCTAGCAATTAAAAAAAGTCTCCTGAAACCATATGGCCACAGGAGCTATCCCATAACCTTGGTACATGCATCTGGTTTTAAACATACAAGTAACTTCTTTTTTTGTTTTTAAATATACATGATTTTTAACTATGCTGCATGTTCTTTTCTTGCTGCAGCTGACATGGCAAGGCAGAGACTCTCTCAGGTGCCCCCAGCTACTGCCACCATCCCCCAGGCTAGCAGACACTCCTGACCTGAAGCTACTAAGAAGAACCAGGTGAGCTGAAACATTTTGAAATGCATCATTTCTCTCCTCACCCTGAACACTTAACACAGCTGTTGACCGCACACGAGCG